GAGAACTGTGCGGAACGTGTGTCAGAGGGTCGTGAGCGTTGGGGCAGATGTTATCATTGGGATGCTGGCTGCATCCAGAAACGTTATCACTATCAGGAAACGCGGACGGCATTGAAACAGGATATTTAGGTTGGTTAAGTTGGTATAGGTGTAGGTAGGTGGGGATGATATAGGTAACCCATAGGTATCATGGGTACCAACCTGAAGGAATCCTCTTGGTGAACCAAGGGAACGAAGGTCATCCTATTGCTTTTCCTTTGACGTCTCGGCTGGTAATCAGTCAGCCTGGAAGAGGCCGGGATTAATTAAGCCGTAATTACTGGACAGCCTCTGTACTTGCTAATGGGCAACCTGATACCCGTGAAAGGCCAGAGCTTCGCATGAATAGATACTACTGACTGTGACGACCGAAGCCTTCCAATGAATATTGGCGCAGCCATATTATCCTCCGCCATTTTGAATTTGATCATCTTTATTGATACGAGATCGATCATTGATTTCAATCGGAAGGTATCGACCTTTGACAATGTGCAGTAAAGTAATTTTGAAATTTTGGAAAAATTTCGTACTCAAAATTTCGGGCCTTATCCGACTTTGTCGATAAATAAAAATTTTTATAGGTACTGTACTGGGTATTTTGGATTTTTTTACAACTTCCCCCCTCCACACGGGGGTCGAAACCGTTGATACGGTGGAAGCTCGTAAATCAAAGGACGCGCGCAAAATCCTCGTAGGATAAAGAGGAGAAGCGGTAAGGCCCAGAATGAAGAAAGGGCCCGCGACGAAAAGGATGCCCCGAAAGGTAATTACTTGATCCTGTGCGCAAACAATAGAAGCGGTGCCCCTTGTCCTGCGTGAGAAACAAAACCCCGGTCAGTTTAAGGGTAGAGACCCGTAAGGTCCATTTTCGTCCTACCTGGCACCAGGAGTAACTGATACTTCAGTGAGATCCAGGGATGGTTTCTACTGGGCCAAAGATTATACCCTTGGCCGTAGTCTTGTGCAATGAATTACAGAAGCATTAATCAGCGGGGTGCCATTTTAGGGGTCGGCTAAAATCTTGCGCAAGGAAAACATGGACAAAGCCAAAAAAAGGTATAATAACAACAGTATGCTAAAAACTCACCCTTAACAGTTGATGCGTGAGCAGCAAAAATTGTGTGTAGAGATGTCTATTATGGTTAAGTATTTTTTTTTCTACCCCTATATGAACGTGTATCAAAATTTTATAAATCTTGCGCAAGGGCGAACCACAGCCGTCAAGATCGAATCCCGTGATTTATGTCGGATATCCAAAAATATCTAATCCACCAAAAACCCACTCCCTTTTTACCCCTGAAGACTAACGCCTAAAATGCTTGCATACCAACCACTAACCACCCACACGTTAATCGTCAATCCTGTTAGCGTCGGCACTCATGGGGCACCCCCCCACTTTCCCTCCGCCCCTGCTACCACGGCAGAGGATCATCCCTTAATCCATTCATTCGCATCCCTGCGACTCTCAAACCGTCGAGAATGAATGAACGTGAGCTTTCAGGGAGGTCTCTCTCCCAACCCCCAAAAAATCAACCCCCATACCAAAATCCTCCCTTACAACCACACTCGGTACACTCACGTGCTCCGCAATTACAATGGATACGCAGACGAGTTACTCACGCAATCTCACCCCCTGAGTACTCGTATGGACATACCCTTATACTTTTGTGCAATCTACCCTTCGTTCAAGTTATAAAAGGGACGCTAAGAGTTAAGTGTAAAATAAAATTTCGAGTGCAATCAAAAAACAGTCCTCTTTTTCAAAATCACTGTATTTATCTGACTTACCGACTTGGTCTAGCCCTACCCAGTGCAGATACCACCTCAAGCAAGTATAATAGGGGTAGCTGCTTCGTCTCCCTTTTCCTAATCTTTTTTTGCCACGCTCCTCTGCGTCCTGCATCGAATTGGTCCACGAATCTCAAAGTGAGTCGCTCCTATTCGGAGGCAGGTAGCCACAGATTATACTCGTACCGTTAAAATCGGCTATTCTCGGAGATCATCGTCTTTTACGGTGACGAAGGCGCAAGTCATCCCGGCACGACCTGGACCCCTCCAAGGGCAGCATCCCTCGACCTATGTTCCCAGTTGGGGTTGAGCAGGAACAGAGTGAAAAAAAATACATAAAAGCTTAATAAACACATCCAACAACAGAACGCGAGTGCATAACCTGCACGAGCCAAGAGTCGGTGAGATGAATCTCCTTTTACTTCTCTTTTGTATTTTTTTTTTCAGATCCCGTTCTCTCTTTTTCTCTCTTCTCCGTTACCGCCATTACTACCCTTCCTATCGCTGTCTTCCTTCATCCCTTATTCTCTCCCTACCCGTGTAACACGGTGCACAATGGATAAATGAGATTTTTTGCGAGCGATTGAGATCTGAGCTCTGGATGGGTGACAAAGGGGGGGAGGGATGGACAGGGGGGGATCATTGTCTCCCTCGGGAGAGGCACCGCGAGTATCCCGATGATAGGGTGCATCCCCCCGGGTATATCGCGGCTCGAAGAAAGGGTTGACATAGGCTTTTAATACTTGCGGTACGCACAGGCATTGTCGATAAAACGCATTGACTGGATTACCATAAATACAGCATCCGGGGACAATGGACCAGGTCTCTTAAGTTGTCCGAGGAAATTTAACACAGGTGTTTGTCTTTATACAATTAATTTTTTTCTCTCCAAAACTCATTGATCTCTAATCAAAGTCGTGATACGCGATAAGGGATGAATTTTTTTAATTATTAAAAATTTCAAAAATTTTTTTTTTTTTCTTTCTTTACAAATAATCTCCACGGGCTCTTCTTCTCTGTCGAGGACGCAAATCGCCATCCCGTCCTTTCCTCACTGGCAGGATTTAATTCATTCGCCAGGGTCTGGTCCGGTAAGGATCGTACATCAACCTGTCATAATTAATAGTACCTTTTCGTGTCCTCGCTCTCCCTTGGAAGTTAACACTTTGTCTTACCTACCTATTCTGCGACTTACCTACCCGGCGTAGCTATTTACCATGCCACTGGATGTGAACACGTAAAAATAAAGGATCAACAGGAGAGTGTGGGAATTTTTAAGTGTCGAGGAAGGATTAATGTCGCTACTTATATATCCATATATTAAGTAATAAAATAATTCATTTGAAAAAAAAAAATTGTATATGGGTATCCATATGGTGTTGTATATTAATTAAAAATAAATATATATATATATATATTACAAGTACAAAGTGAAGCTTTATACCCATGAGTATCGTGAAACCGTACTATTATAAATGCCATCTCTTGTTTTCAGAGTTACTCCACCAACTTGACGTAATACCACAAGGTAGAAGCCCAGTACAGTCGGTATACACGGTGCAAGATTTCGACACCACGGTACACTCTAATTAGGGTACAGATAACGTCAAGATAATTAATTAAGACGTGTATTAATAACGGAACATTAATCAGATAGAAAACGGCGAATTTTCTGACGTGGATTTTGTATCATGGTTTATCTTTTTTTTTTCGGGATTAATGGACCAATAAGCATCATGTAGCCTAAGGAAGCGCAGGTACTAAATTAAAAATCTAATAAAATCATCATGCGGATATAAGCATGGAAATTTTATTGCACTCGCGGTGCAAGAGTAATATAGCCATACGGGGTTCATCTTTATTATGGGAAATATCCAAGCAAGAAGATTGCCGTATCTTTTTCAATTTCCTTTAAGAATTTCTTTCCCACTTGCCAACTTCTTCTCGCGGCATCCACCCAGTGACGTATGTATCTACGGACATAAGGAACTACCACGGGTTAGTGCGCCGTAGAACACCATAGAACAACGTAGCGTAGCATGGGCATATGCCATATGGCTAATGGCTTCCGCGTTGCTAAGCGTCATTGATAGCACCAGGCGAACCCGTGCCGACGCTATGGTGTCAAGGATCGCATTCGTGCCCCTTGTTACTCTATGGGGTGTCCGTTAAGGAGACTCCAGAGTGCGGCGATAGTTATGGTGTTATAGTGGCAAGTACGATACGCGCGATTATGAACTGGCGGAAGATTGATAAGAGATTTGGATTCTAGGCTTGCAAGGAGTGATAAGATTATTTTTTATGGTTTTTTGGTGCTATCTGAATTTTATGGGTTTATTTTATTTTTTATTTTTATAAATATTTCACAAGACGCTTAATGCGTGGCTGTTCGTGAATATTGATTGGGTAATTCTTTTTTTTCTCTCTTTGAGCGTTTCTTTCGGTCTTCGTTTGCTTTGGTAATTAGCTAATTAATAATCACGCATGATTTTAGACTCGCAACGATCATTTGGACTGATGATACCTACACGAGAATGACTAGACTGACAACTGATCGTTTCCTGGTATTAATATGCATTATTGTCAACCCCTGAGGTCAACTCGACTTCCTCGAGCGAAATCCAACGTGCGTGCATATGTTAATACATGAGAATGGGATGGCTTATAAAAGGCCTTTGTCCGCTCCTTGCGAGATATTTAATACCGGGTGTCGGTACGATAAGTATTTTCACTAATTTTCAAGCGAAACAAGGAACGGACATTCTCAATGGTAAAGATTGGACGATTCAGAAAATTCAAATCTATCAAGGGAAGAAACAGTTATTTTCCTTGCCCTTTAAGGGGTTTGCCCTTTGACCTTTCGAACTGCCATGTCACGTATACTACTACCATAGGGATTCCTAAGGGATGATCTTTAATTTTTACCCAGGCCATTTCTACCAGTCACGTCCAACCAGGACAACTTCGAGGCGGAAGGGTCGATTGAGTTTTTACTTGAATCACAGAAAAACTGTTACCGATGACATTCGTTCCAATTTCTGAATTAAACGAGTGACGAGTGAAATAAGTGTCACGTGATTTTGACGAATAAAAAAAAAATCAAATTTACTAAATCCAATTTGACTTTTTGGTACCGATTCACTTTTTTTTTTTTCGTATTTCCAAGCATTACGTCATATGTTAATTGTTTTATGTACGTCGGTATATCTGTATATCGCATCATACGCTCCGGTATCATTGTCAGCGAAATCATGACGACTTTCATTAGCCCGTATTAGCGTTCTCGCCTGTACCAAAGGCGTTAATCTGGCAGAATTAATCTGACTCAGTCTGATGCTTTCCCTCAATATGCTACGTAGGAGAGGATGGAGCCACCCTCGTGATCCAATGAAGGTAGCAGAGGACGAGGAAGAAAATCGAGAACGAGGCAGAGTAACGTACAGTGGGATGCTGGGTGGTTCATCTCTTCTCATCTCGTTCACATCAGGATACGGCGTAGTTGAGTTTGCTGTAGAACGCTCGGTCGCCTCCTGACAACAGAGCAAGCCACTTCAGAATCATCCCATAGGACCCTCCCCTTACGCCCTCCCCTCCCGACCTACCCCTATTCTGCGAAACCCTGTAGGATGATCACCGCGTCCCGGCTCCTGGGATGCTGGATGGGTTGCCACGGAGATGAGTCTGTCTAACCATTCGAAGCCACTTGTAATCGGGCTATGTGGTCTTCGTGCGAGTTCCTGCTCCATTATTAAAAGCCGAACGAGTGCTATGGGATAATATGTTTTGTAACAAACCCTATAGAAATTGATATGGGATTGAATTTTATTCCCATGAGGATTTTAGGGAAATTCAAAATCCGTTGTGATAATGGAATTTTATCGATTTGAGGTTATTTGGTGATTATTGTTCACGTTGGTGTATGGATATTTTTGGTTTTGTCAAAAATATTATTTTGAATTTATTAAGGTTCGGGAATCACGTCCGGTGTTCAAATCGGATAAGATTAATAAAACAATATATCGTTATTAGGCTGTGTCTTGAATCTTAGAGTATTTTATACCTTAGGAATATCAATCTGTACAATTCAACGGGACGACTAAATCCTGGGAATAAATTATTATTTTATTCGCGATGGCAATCACTGTCTTATTCAATGCGACGTGATGCTGACGGAATGGTGTCCTCTCGTGATAATTTCAAAGGAAGTAAATTTTGTTTGTACCTTCGTGTCTCAGACGGGAAACATTTTGGTGGAGATAGTCGTGAAGAAAAATTTGAAAATTTTTTTTTCCAAATTTTTTACACCAAAAATCGTGCGAAAATTCGTTTTAATATTTTTGATCAAACGCGTGTCCGGTATTCGCTGAGGCGAATAATAAAAAATGAAAAATATAAAGTGTACCAGAAACTAAAAGCTGCTGTAGTCTTTCGCGTTTTGGTCCACCCTCTTAGTGGAGGCAACGGGACACTTGGTACGGTGAGTCGACGCAGTAGAAACATAAATAACTCTCGAATGCCCATAAATGCGTTAAAAATCCACGGACCGTAACTTCATTTAATGTGTTTCCGAGGGGGACCGCGAAAAAGAAAGAAAAGAAAAAAATGAGAAACAGAACCGTTCACCGGCGTCAGGGTGAGGCCATTTTTTTACGATAAGCGGTAAACATCATCAAGTTTCGATTTTTTAAAACCGACCACTGCTAGAAATTTAACCAGGGTATTCGAGGCTCGTATTAAATTTGGAGGAAATCCTCAAGTTTTTGTTAATTAAAGGAAAATTTGAGAAACCGAAAAATCATTGGAAAATATATTTCTTTTTTTTTCGGTTTTATTTTTTTCCCTAGATACGACCCCTATAACTCATAGTTTCAACCTCTCGATATTATCTATGTGGGTTTTTAGAATATATCAATGGCATTTAACACGTTCCTTATTAGAATGATTTACCACCAACCCCTTTCAGTGATATATATATATACACTTGACGCGAGAACCGAAACGAGTTCCACGTGACTTTAGGCTCCCAATCTAATCTTTTGGTTAGGGTCACGAATCACGGATTCCACGAGTAATTCAATAGCTTGTAGTTCAGAGCAGTACAAGTCACCCCTAAAATTGCTAACCGCATACGAAGCGCCCTGTATAGAAATGTGTAGTAAAATACAAAAAATGTATACCAAAAAAATTGTCCACAAAACATTAGTGGTCCATCCGATAGGAACTGTAAGGAAGTAAAAATTTTGTTTACCCTTTTAAAAAAAATCATGGCGAAAGAACTGGGGGAAACCTGTTGGAAACCCTAAAAAAAAATAAACGCGATAATGAGGAAGTGCCATGCGAAATTTGAAGTTAACGACTATTCGACCCATCTGTCCGAGATGGCGACTGTTCGTGTCAGTGAACGTTTCAATCCCATAAATTGAATAAAGGTTTTTCCCACATGTGCAAATGCGCATATAATACGAGCCAGTGAATCCAGTTGGATTTCTGGTGACCGCATGTGGTGACTAACTTGAGTTTTGAAAAAATCGAACGTTGCGTCACCTACAGCCACCACCATATAAACCACCATAGACTCAGTTGACCAATCCCCATTGAAGATTCTCTAAGATTCCATAAGGGGAGTCCTTATTATTTATATGCGTGCACCTTCCTACAGTCCAGGGGGTCTTTATGGTGGAAATCTGATTTTTCTCCAGAATTTTGTTTAAAATCTTTATGAACCGTGACGGAGGGTTGTTTCGTTCCTTCAAGGGATACTTGCTTCCAACCTCATTTCTACCCCTGCATACGATCTCCGCTCGAGGGATACTTGTACTACCTACCACTATACCTAGTGGTACGGGGTACGAGTGCACCCCTAAAGTTTACGCAGCCGGACCCAAACTGGCCACGGTTTCCCATATCCTGTCGCACAAGCCAATAGATTTCCCCATGCGAGTTACGAGACGGAAATAAAATTACGCCATGCTGAATTTTTCCCTTATCTAATTTCTCCCTCGGTCCTGCGGTAAGAGGGATGCTGCCAGAAATGACGGAAATGAATATCCGATCCCTTATAACTTTATCGGCTTTTACCAATTTTTTTGCGAAAATCAAAGACAACCCCCTCAAGACAGTCTACCTGCTCTATTTAAAAAAATTCTCAAGAAATATTCTCAAACATTTTCGGTATGCATAAAAATCATCCCTTATTCCTGCAGACTTTAGATTTCCTCAAAAATTCAAATTTCACCCCTTTGCACTATACCCAATATTTATACTCAAACGAAATGCTTAATACTCTCTTATTTTATTTTTCTCCCTTCAACCCCCTGCATCCCGAATTTACACATTCGTATATGGGCGAATACATATGTCCAAGGCCCTATCTACGTAAATCCTAGAATCCTCTGAAACAACCCCTGTAACAAAACCGCAGGTCTTCTCCGCCTACTTCCCAGGGGTAGTACAGTTCGTGGATGCTGGGTAAGAAACTAGTGTAGGTATTTAGCACCCCCCGTAGAGAGTCTAGTGGGTGTGTTGTGACACGAAAGCCAGACAAACAAACAACGGGGTCCATTCTCAGTCCCATTGTCAGCGACCGCAACGTTGGGAATGACCAGTGGCCGAAGCGGCGGTCACCAAAGTGGGACTTGTGTCGCTTTTACAATTTTTCAGAATAATAGCAACCCCCGCAACGACCTACACATTTCATCCCCTACCGAGAGAGACAGGAAGTCCCTCGACTAAGTAGGAAGCGATACACTCCCACGATTCTCTTTTCGATTCTATTTATGTATCCGAAACTACCCCTGTACAATTTCTTACGCAACATTAGTTCCAAGATAACGACTGGCTCTTCGGGAAACAAGAAAAGGAAGAAAAAAAATGACTTTTCTCTATGTTCCAGAAAGTTCCTTCGCGTGACGCTTTCTTGCTATTCAGATGCTTGGGAAAGATATTTCTAATACAGGGTGTCCTATTATTTTAATAATTTCATAAAGGATAATCGGGTATGACGTACGAAACGCGTGTTGATTTTTAATTATATTTATTTTTAACGTTTGATATTCGATTATTTTTATTTTTCGCGATTTCGCGTAATATAATTTTAAAAAACCGATAAATTAATTTTTTTGCTAATTATACGTCAGTCGGCAGTATTCGTTATCGTTATCTGTACTCAGTTACTGCCGCAACAGCAACGTCGCTCGTCCCGACGCCTCTGCTGTCTTGTTGACACGTACTAATATATAATCACAGCACTTTCGTAAGCGCAATGTTTCCAGCGTTTAAGGAAACATCGTTAAATCTAGAATTCACGATTACGACTTTACGATGATTTCATTTCGTTGATTTATACTTATTTTTAAATGTACACCGAGCCATCGCACCGATAGCCAAGAGTAAGGCAAATAATCTCTATACAAAGAGTGGATTTTGTTAAAAAAAAAAAATAAATAAATAAAAACGTGAAAGAACCTTCCCAAAAGCGGTAGGATCGCCGAGTGGCTAGAAGTTACCCAAAGAAGAAAAAAATAGAAGAAAAAAGAAGAAGCAGGTTGAAGAGCAACATCTGGAACGAGCGTTGGGCCTGCTCGACAATTATCAGGAAACTTGGAATCCTGAGACTTTTTGGGACCCAACCAGTGGGTCAGTTTCAGAGCGCCAGATAACGGTGTCCCTTTACCATAATTTGTCTTTCCCTCTTTCTCTTCTAGACATTAAGATAGAAACCGATACGAAAAAAGGTCCAGATGAAACGGGCCTTACCCTGGCCCAACTACGGTTTAATTCACAAGTGACGATGGAGCTTCTTGCGAAGGAACTTGGACGACCGTTTGTGACCTCAAGTATAGTCAGGGTCCTGAGACGCTTTAAAGGTCCCATAACGCGAAACACGTTACACACGTTTTCCACTATGGGACGTTGGTAACCCTATGAGTATTCGCATGCCCGAATCAGGATCTACTAGTTTCACTATGATCAACATACTAAATCAAGTTAGACCGTGGCTACGTATGATCCCACGTTTTCTATATCCCGCGGGACGTCCTGGACTGAGGAACTCGTTTCCCGTCGATGGGACTCTTCAGGTTTCCCTGTACGGGATACACTGGACACTGTCCACTCCCCGGGACCGTTAAAATTAAAACAGGTTGCAACCACCCGAAACTTCAGTCCAAATACCTCAGATGTACGTTACGCAATTCCAACCTTGGATATAGCAAAACCAAAAATATTCCAAATAAATTTTTGGTTCCGATATGAAGAACCCAAATATCGGTCACTAATTGAAAAAAAAATTTCATCAATGATACTCCTATCGCAATCTTCACACTCCTGGTCTGTAAGAGAATTTTAAGTGGACAAAAAAAGTGGATGGAATTTTTCTTTAAAAATGTTAAGAACTTATCGAAAAGTAAGTTAAAAATGTGTTCGGCTATTTCAGGAATTTGTATGGTATGCTAATTGCCAGTAGCCGGCCGTTTTTCCTGGGGCATTAACCGAAAACTAGAAGCTTGTGGCAGGTAGCCGAGTAGGCGTAAAAGGAACACCTTGCAGTTCATGTGGGTGGACAAGTGGCGGTCCCTGAAGCATAGAACGAACGATAGACAGGGGAACGACGGTCGAACGGAACACGAGAGAGGAACGGGGTCTGACGGACAGGCAGACAGACACTCGGGTACGAGTGGGTGCAGCCTTTTGAAAGTTGGAAAAAGGGGCCTTAGGCCCAACTTAGAGATCCCTTTAGTTCTTCCTATGCATTCGGTAGGCACGAGACGGAATTCCAATTGGAATTTACTTCAATTCCTAACTAACTGTTTACTTCTAAATACCAAAGCATTTTCGGATCCACTTTACCTTGACACACGGCGTGTCAAGTGTCGTTGACAGGATAAGCGGCACTTTGAAAGATAATGTCACATTGGTTGACAGTTGGACAGACAGTTT